GGTCGAAGAAGACTCCCTCTTGAGATGGTTCGTCGAATTAGACGACGCCATAAGGGCGCTTCGCATCGAAGACGGGGAAATGCAAGTTGCATTTGCCCAGTCAAATCTGGCAGGACGTGCCAAGACTTGGGCACTGGGGCTCAAGCTGCACGACCCATATGCGTTTGGGTCGTTGGAAGTCTTCAAGTCGCGGCTCAGACAAACGTTTGAACCGCCTGGAGCTGAGTTCAGAGCTCGAACCGAACTCTTGAAGCTCAAGCAGGGTAAGCGTGATGTGCACGCTTACGCTCAACATATACGACATCTCACGAGTTGTATAAGTTCCAATCCGGTGGATGAACACACGTTGGTTTCGGTGTTCATGCAGGGTCTTGCTGATGGTCCCGTCAAGACTCACCTGTTCCGGCTTGAACTAGATTCACTAGAACAAGCCATTTCAATTGCGGAGCAGGAAGACTTCAGTCTGAGACAGGCTCGCGCCAGCTCGACATCATATCGTCAACCGAGACGATATGACAACGGAGGTCCAGAGCCGATGGAACTCTGTTATGTAGAGAGCGAGAAGGCTCGCTCTACAGGCTACAAGAAGTTGCAGAGATGCAACAGATGTCAAAAGACAGGACACTACGCTTACGAGTGTAGTGCCCCTCGTCCAGTGTCTCGCGACAGTGGGCGTAGTGACCGTCCACCCATGAGAAAGGGGCAGGGACGAGGGTCCGCAGTTGGTGCAAAGACGCAACAACGGGATGGACCGTCAAAAATCGGACAGGATCAGTAGGTGCGGAGCACCCTACTGATCCAGCAACGTCAAGAGAATTTGTAGGCCTCTTGATGAAGGTTGCTCCCAACACACAGACATTGTGCGTTGCTGCTCTAGGTAATGAGGTCTCACTCATTACCTTGAAACTCGAAGTGACGAATAAGTTGTCTCTTCGAGCTCTAGTCGATTGTGGGGCGTCCAACAATTTTGTGCGACGCCAATCGCTAGAAGATGGTCACTTTAAATTCAGTGAATGTGACACACCTCCTACGAGGATGACGGTACGTCTTGCGACAGGCGCATCCGTAACCGTCATGAAGCGTATAGTGAAGATTCACTATACAAAGATACCCAATACGACGATGACTTTATCGTATTGGATTTGGATGACAAATTTGATGTCATCCTTGGAATACCGTGGCTCAGAAGGTACGAACCACGGGTAAACTGGCAACATCGGACAGTAACGATGCCTGCCGCTTGTTCATCAGATGGCCATCTGATGAACGTTTTGGAGCGTCCACAAGCGTGTGGATGTACTACGAGTGAGTGCGATGGCCTCACTTGTGGTACGGTCGTTAGTACGACTGCACAAAACCTTAGTGTACCAAACGGTTACACTTCGGAGCAAAGTTCCGGCGGCTGTGAGGAAACACAGGCTGCGCCGAAGGTCCACCACTCGAATAAGTCGGGTGGACTGGGACAAAGATGTATCCCTAGAGGGGAACATCTAGAAGAGAAACAATCGATCGCTCAGGTTAAGCGAAACGATAATCCTAGATCGACTGGAGAGTCTTTCGTAGAGGATCTCGCTGTGGTTGCGCAACCCCAGCTAGAGGAAGTAAAGGGAATAAGTCCCAAGATTACAAATACGGCGGAAATAAGTTCCCCGAAACCCGCGGGAATAAGTCCCCGGGAAGACGAAGGAATAAGTCCTTCGAAGCCTGAGGGAATAAGTCCCCAGGAAATGACAGAGACATTGAATGTCATAGTCAATAACGGATCATGTGTAGGCGCTTATACACTTGATCTGATTGCGCCTCCGAAGTTAACTTCGGAGATCACTCAGTTGCCAACGCTCGAACATAAAAGGTTCTTGCGTGATCTGCGTAGTGGCAAAGTCAAGCAGATCTGCATACTCGCCGCTGAAGACGAGTATGTAACCGACATAAGGTCAGCAACAGTGTTTACTGAGAACGAGAGAGTTCTCAGTAGTTCATCTATGGACGAGAGTGCCCTAGATGAAAAGACACGAATTGAGCGATATGAGTCCCAATCATGGGAATCGCTCAAGGAAAATCCTCTCTATGAAGATTTGGTTGAATTCAAGGATGTATTCCCTGAAACTGTTCCGTGCGAATTACCGAAGGATAAAGGTATTCGACACGAAGTCGAGCTTAAACCAGGCTCGAAGTACTGTGTCATGAAGCAGTGGCCACTGCCTCGTGAACAAGTACTTGCGATCGACAAGTTCTTTGCCGATCGTTTAGCAGCGGGCCATGTGAGGGAATCAACTTCCCCACATAGCTCTCCGACCTTCTGTGTGCGAAAAGCAACAGGAGGGTGGCGGATAGTGCACGCGTTCAACAAGTTGAACGCTGCAACGGTACCGGCTCAGACGCCGATACCGAGGAAGGACGTAATCATTGATGGTATGTCAAAGAGTACCATCTTTTCGTCCATGGATTTGATGAATGGCTTTTATCAAATCCTAATGCGGGAACGGGATATACCCTATACCGCAGTTAGCACGCCTAGCGGCATGCTCTGGGAATGGCTAGTAATGCCACAAGGGCTCAGTAATGCCCCTGCCACGTTCAACAGGTGTGTATCACATCTGTTGAGGCCAGTACGAGAATTCGCGCCGAGTTATTTCGATGACGTATTCATCCATAGTCGAGCTATGGATGGAAAGTCGGACGTTGAGGTTCACAAGTACCACGTCCGACAAGTTCTTACAATCATGCGAAAGCATCAATTGTATGCAAACCTCAAGAAGTGTATATTTGCAGCAAGCGAAATACCACTTCTTGGGTGCATCGTTGGTAAGAACGGTGTACGTCCTGATCCCGAAAAGATCAAGGCGATCACCGACTGGCCCGTGCCGGTCGATGTCAAAGGTCTTCGAAAATTCCTTGGGCTAGCGGCGTATTTGCATAAGTATTCACGCAATTACGCCGAGATGACTGTACACCTCTCTCGTTTGTTGAAAAAGAACGAGAGGTGGTTATGGAACGCTGAATGTCAACGCTCCTTTGAGGGTATCAAGCAGAGCTTGATACAATCCCCAGTCCTAGCAATAGCCGATCAGGACAGGCCATTTCATGTGGTCTGTGATGCCAGCGATTTCGCAATCGGCTGTGCATTAATGCAGTACGACCTTGAAGGCGTTGAACGCGTCGTCTGCTATCAGTCGCGTCAGCTGCAACCAGCTGAGCGGAACTATCCAGTGCATGACAAGGAACTCCTTGCCATGAAGTATGCACTCGCGAAGTTCAGAGTCTATCTATTAGGAGATAGACCCTTCGTTGTTTACACTGACCATGCGTCCTTACGCACGGCAGTGAACAGCCCGCACCTTTCACAACGAATGGCGCGGTGGTTGTCATTCTTTGCAGAATACAACTTTACGGTCGAGTACAAACCAGGACGACTTAATGTCGTCGCTGATGCACTCTCACGTCGTCCCGACTTTGAAACAGTCGCGAAACCCAACAGTGAGACAGTCACTGTTGCGGTTATGACGTCCTCAGTTCCATCTACAATGTTGTATGATGATGTGAGGCGGGCATACGCCCAAGATGGTGAGATAGTGAAGTTGTTGTCACATCTCTCCCAACCATCTCGAGAATCGTTGAAACGATTGTCGTCTGCGTATCGATCTGCATCAGATCGATACACTACTCGTAACGGTTTACTGTAATATACAGCCGTTTCTGGTGACACACCACGTGTTGTCATTCCAGATGATACTGATCTGCGTTTGCGGATCATGTTCGAGTATCACGATGCTTCTGTAGAAGGACATCGTGGCCGAGAGAAAACATATCTCACGGTAAGTCGAGACTTTTACTGGCCCCGCCAGTATCAGTTTGTGCGAAAGTATGTTCGCGCATGCGAAGTCTGCCAACGAGTGAAGTCAAGTCCTTCACTGCGTGCACCTTTACAGCCTCTACCGGTTCCGGCTGAGTGCTGGGAATCCATCTCAATGGATTTCGTCTTCGGGTTACCCAAAGACGCACGCGGGAATACGGGTATTCTCGTATTTGTTGACAGATTCAGCAAAATGGTACACCTTGTGGCTGTACCAGAGACAATCACGGCAAGTGGCTGTGCTTGTGTCTTTATTGACACCATCTTCCGACTTCATGGGTTGCCCCGTGAACTCGTATCAGACAGAGATCCACGATTCACTGCTGATTTCTGGCGTTCCGTGTTCAAATCACTCGGAACGCGCTTGAAGATGTCAACATCTGATCATCCAGAGTCAGATGGTCAGACGGAACGTGCCAATCGTGTCCTTGAAGAGATACTTCGAGGATACGTACACTCCTTTAAGAGTTGGAGTGAGTTTTTGCCAATGGTAGAGTTTGCCATCAACAACTCGGTGCATGCGTCCACGACACATACACCGTTTTACGTGAATGGCTTGCGCCATCCGCGTGTACCCACCTTACTAGAGTGTAACTCTGGTTTAAGGGGGGAGGGACTCGCGCGAGCAAAAACCGAATTGGTTCACGCTCATCACGCTCTGACGAAGAAGTCATTGCGTTTGATGCCGATATCGATAACATCGATATCGAAGAAGATGATGCCAGTGAGAGTGCGGAAGCCCTACTAAAAGATCCCAGTGAGAGTGCGGAAGCCCTCACTGAAGAAAAGGTTGTTGTCGCTGCAGTGCGCTCACAGCACACTGAAGCTAACGAGTCATCAGATGAGTTCATACTGGCTCGTGAAACGGTAGTCCGTTTTGTGCAAGACTCCATCGCCGAAGCGGTGGATAAGCAAAAGCAAAACGCTGACAAGAATGGAAGGGAAAACACCCTTTTATTTGATAAAGGTGACTTAGTCCTACTGTCTACGGTTAATCTACCAAAACATGTAGTGACTAACTTGGGTAGCAGTAAACTACTACCCAAGTACATTGGCCCATTTCGTGTATTGCACCGCCTAGGCAATGCATACACGATCGAGTTACCACGTAAGATGCGAACGCATCCCACGTTTTACGTTGGTCGGCTTAAGCCGTACCATCAGTACGCTGCTTCTTCCGATGAAGAACGCCCTTGCGCTCAAGCATCTCGCAGAGAGCCTTGTGCTCCCGATGGTGGGCATCAACAAGGGTCTGAAGAGCAGTTATCTCAGCCCGAGACCGATCAACAATCCCACGAGCTACCCTTAGCTCGTCACGAAGAGATGTCAGAGATCTCTCGTTCTCAAGCTGAGCAAAGGCAAACTCAGCTCGATGCTTCGAGGCAGTGTCCACCATCTGGAGACGCCTATTCCGCTCATGCTCGAGATCGTCGCGTAACCCTTGCGTTACGCGATCAAAGAAGCTCTCGGGAACACACCGATCCACATGATCGTGTGGAGAGCGTCTTTCCTCCTCCTCCACCTCCATTAGAGGACTCTCGCGGTGGCCAGCGCTATCTAGTTGAGCAGCTGTTGAACCACCGCGACGTGAACGGACGTCGGACGAGTTACCTCGTCCGGTGGCGCGGCTATCCCCCGTCCTGGGATTCTTGGGAGCCCCGCTCCCAATTGATGGTTGACGTACTGGGTCTGGTCGAGCAGTACGACGCGACACATCCTGTGCCGCAGAAGGACCGCCGGAGAAAGTCTTCCCGGCACGGTCGTAAAGGGATTTCAGGTTGTCAATCCCTTCGTACATCTCAGTAGAGACACGTACGCGCCACCACGGGCTGGTAAGGAGGTAAGCCTCCTTAGGTGCTCGTGCAGAGTTGTTCACACAACATGGGCACGAGTCTCCCCAAGAGAGGCAGGGTAATCCTTTCTCCCTTGACAGACGATGCAGCTTATAGCGTGCACCTGTCGGGGTTCGCTTTTCAAACTTATCACGAGCTTTGATAAGTTTGTCGTTCCAAGCGTCACGACCTACATCCTCGAGATTATGGATGTAGGCGTTCCACGCCTGAAGTAGTGAGGGACCATCACGTTTGTGATTCCCACTGTACCATCGATGTCTGAAGAAAGCATCGATGAAGAACTCATGTTCAGCGCGATAGTCTTTCGCGCTGGGGTCAAGGTGATGGATCCTTGACGAATCGAACAATCGTGTTCGATAACGATCACTCGTCGTCGCCGACAAGTGATCCATGACAGATTTAGGAGGCATCCATGCCTTCTTCTCGGGGAGCGAGACGCAAGACATTGCGATCCCGCTCTTCCTGCGATGTGCCGACAGAAGTACTGGCACCTCGTTGCGAAGTGGGTGTCCATAGGAGAACCGACACCACTGTTGGCGCCCGAGTCTCGCGACCTCGAGCGCCTTCGCTTCGGCGATGGTTCATCTGACTCATCAGATGAACCAAAGATGCTGCGACGCAAAGCATCGTCCATGCCACGCTTGGCAGGCGGCTTGGATTCAATTGCCGTCGATACGGATCCGTCATCCGTATCAGGGAGAGTACGAGACACCGAGCTCGTACTCTGTGAAGACACGAGTGTCTTCATGACCAGCGCCTGCATCACCAGGTGATACAGGCTGAGTCGATTCAGCAACCGATGGGACATCAGTTGCTGTAGTTTCTGCTTCGGCGTCCGCACAGAGACGTGCAGACGCGCTCTCGGCGGCCTTGCTCGCGCATCGCATGGGCTTGTTTACCATGCGATGAAATGTTGGAAAGTGGACGCGTACCAACAAGTGCAAACCCCGTCCCAAATGATTTGGGACGAGTATCCATTTAGTCAATCAGTCACTAAAGTGACTGATGGTTAAGGGGGTGATGTAACGGGGGGTGAATCGTTACATAACAATTTATAAGAAATTGTTAATAGAATATAACTATAAGAGTTATATTCTCAGAATATTGTCATAAGGACAATATTCTGTAGCACTTCAAGTAGTTCCTAATTGGTTGATATAGGCCATTATATCAACCAATGAAGACGCGCCACGACAGACGCATGCAATGAGTGGTGAGCAGATAACTGATTTACACATTTGTATTTAGACATAGTTAGATGAAGATAAATAGTGATTTATTGCAGACATTAACTATTATAAATACAGTTCTACTTTTACTCTAACCAAGTACTCGCTTCTTCTTACCGTCTTCCTCTGCACGGACGAGTGTACGTGAAGTTACGAGGCACCGCCTTATTCTGTTATCGGAATAAGTAGCTTGTACTGTCACCAGTACAAGCTTCAGGGTGCCCCGTTACAGTATTAGCTGCGATAGAACACTACTTAATGCTCACCATCAGATTTCTCTAGACCGTCGTGGAGCAGACACCTGGCCACACTTGGCCAAACATCCAAGCTTCCATCCCCATCAATTTCGGAGTTTGAATAAATTTCCATCGCTGGTGAGTTGCATGTTAAAAACTCTGCAGGGTTCATGCTTGTAAACATCTCCTCGGCTACAGCTAGGACCTCTCTCGGAGGTGACAGCACCAAGTTTTCTTGAATACTGTCCTCACCCATAGATGCTTTTCCTACTTGTGTTGAGTTCCGGTCTTTTTCATTTTTGCGACGGCGTAGTCGAGCAGAATGCCATCGGTTCTTGATCGCATTGTCGGTGCGTCCCGGTAAAGGGAAGCAATGCGCGACCAGGCGTTTCCGAACTTTCGATGCAGTGCGAGCAGCAGCTCATCCTCATCGACGGACCAGAAGTCGTGCTTGATAGAAGGGTCAAGCTGATTATGCCACCGCTCTCGACACTGCTTTGATGTTCGCCCAGGTAGAAATGACGCCGCTATTGTCCATTGTCTCGCTCCATGGCTTTTTACGGAATTCTGTAGAATCTCGTCTTCATCAGTTGTCCACTGTTGCCTACTAGGGGGAGTCCAGCGATTTTGGAGCTCATTCCAACGAGCTAAACAGGAGTGTTTGGAGCGGTTCGGGACTGTTGAAGCGACAAAATTCCATCGGCGCACGCCGTAAAGACGAACACCGTTCCGAAGCAGAGTATCCTATTTTACAAGTGAACCTTTTAGAATGACCTGTGAGCTAGCAACACGATCCCGCTACTTACTTCTTCAGACGTCCACATCGAACCATGCATCTTAGATCATGAAACTCATCGAATGACCTTTTTCAATCGGTAAGAAATGAGCGGATATGATCTACGACGAATATGAGAGGCGGCGTTGACTCCTCACATTTCATGACACGGCATCGGTGGAATCAAAACTGAGATGGTGATGATCCCGTCCCAGATTCCTCCTGAGGCTAAAATTATATGCTTGAGATTTTACTTCCTTCTCGTAGAATACGGAAGATCGTCGAGAGCCGACGTGAGTTCTAATTGACACTTTGTCGACGCGCCATGGGAAAGTGAAGACGCAAGAGATCAGCGACTATTTTGCTTGGTCTCTTGTTGAACGAGCAAGCCCGAATTCGCAGCACAGAGGTGTACACTTCACGTAAACATGTACGGGATGGATTGTAGTTATGGTTTCCTCCTATAGATTGTCCGTGCAATGCTTGGTCGTTCGCAATCTGTTTCGAACCAAGTTCAGCATTGAGCGACGTGGCATCCAGCAAATGTTCGCAACATCAGGGCGCTGCGATACATGAATTGTTGCGGTGTGGGGGCCTTCTAAAGACGAGGACAGTCGCCGATTGTCCAACATCTCGTGATCGATCTCTTGTACGAATGGAGCGTTCGAAAACACCGAGGTCGGGTCTCCTGGGGTACATGGAGTACATGGAGATCCTGGGAAAGGCTCTTTTGGGGTTCCATCGTGCTCGATCCCAACAGCCTCCCCATTCTCAAAAGCACGACTACCACGTAATTCTGACGGTGACAATTCGCCGTGCGAACTTGCCGCAGACTCACGTGCGTCTGTACTGCTGGCCTTCAATTTTATCGATGTATGGCGCTTACCAATGGTAGTATTCTTCTCGTCTCCTTCTTCATCTTGCCTTCTTGTAAAACCGACTGACTACGGTCTCGGCTCGCCAGCACGCAAAAATTTGCTCGTCCGACTGCATGTTGTGTAAGGCGCACATCGCACAGCAGACAAGTTGTCCAGCCACCACATTGTCCGTGCTGGCGACGGAATCTTCTTCCACATAAGGTCCTTTGTTCGGGTCATCGAAACTTAGTGCAGTCATGGTACTAGAGTGACCGAACTGTTTGTCTGCTGCATCCTCATCGTCGACCTCGAACATGTGGGTCTCGGAGAAGGTTTTCGCTAGAGGCTGGTCAAAAGTTGGAGATTTGAGAGACTCGTGATTGTTTGCGCTTTCTCTGTTTGTGATGAACATGATCATTTCCGGTGCAACTTGTTGCCCTCAACACCAGGGCAGTTCTGGTTCAACGGATTGAGCAAGACACGCTGCAACGTCGCGAACAGTTTGGCAAGAGCTTGTCGTCGGGTTTGTAAAGCGCGAGGTTTATGTCGAGGATCCGCTACTCGGAACATATAGAGACCTCTTCGTTCGGATAAGAAGAGATCGCTGCACGTAAGCGTATAGCCACGGGCATTCTGCAAAGCAAAGATGGCCCCGACTTAGCTTCGTCAGTATCCGGTTCTTGAACGGCGCAGCACTCGGTATATGATCCGGACGGAGACGCCATGTCGAATTTGATTTAGCGTCATGCACAGTCAGTGCGAAAGTGGAAGCATCTCTAGACACAAGCGACGATGTGGTCACTTCAACTGTAACGCTGGCCAAGTAGGCGACACTCGGATCCAGATTATGAGATGAGGTGAAAGCTTGCGAACTGCGGTGTAGATGCCTAGCGTAGAGTGCTGAGCACTTGGGGTGGCGCTGTAATGGTGCGTTGCTCATTGTGTAAATTCTCGACAATACGACGCTACAGATTGTGAGAGACCCACCGTCACCGACGCGATGAGTGTAACGAAGCGAATGGCGAAGTGGAGATGGCTTGGTGTAAGTGTTGTAGTCTGATCCATCTGAACTAGAGAGCTTTACGGATGGATGGGGCGGGTCGATCATTCAAGGTCGGAACGTTTGCGTTTAGTCGCGTAAAGTCCCACATGAATCACTTGGTTTAAAGTCAAAGGGTGAAAATGAGATAGATAGGATTTTCAAACTGATTGATGTGCATTACTGTCAATGGTATTCCAGTGTCTTGAACGTGGTATGAAAGATAGCTTAGTCGGTGTATAACGATTGATTACCACAGATTGATTGCGACACGTAAAATAGTTGCACATTAGCTGTTGTGCGGAACACAGCACTAGACCAAACACCGGTAGGATTCTTGTTCTGATGGCAAATCGACCACAGGATAATGTGCAATATTGTATGCGTTGTCCGGCTGTTCGCAGAGCGAGGACTCGAAGGTGCTTTTCCGAGACCGACCACAGAATTACGCTTTTATATAACCCAACAGCAGATAAAAAAGATTGACACCGAGAAGTCACAATTGTCCAGCGCAAATGCAACTGTTCCGCCCCCAGGCATTTGTCGGCGAGTCATCGTGGGCCTCAAGGTTATGGCGTAGAATACGTCTTTATATACAAGCCTATTACTAAAGTTCTTGCCAGCGAAAATTCGACATTTGCTGCATCACCCACCTGACATAGTTTTACGGTATCACCACAACAGCGCACTTCCACCTTCCCTAGATTGTTGCATCAATCAGCCAGATCTGTGTGTGTCTGTAAATAACGCACTTCATACCGAGTGCGATGTAGCATTAATGTCGGCGATAAGATGTTCTGCGCGTTCTTGCTTGATTTAAGACACGGGTAAAATGTATCGCCTCAAAAACCCTCGGTAGTGGCAAAGTTGAATGCGGCTGATTATCTCTGACACAAGAAGTTGGTATTTAGTATATCGTTAAGTGATGAATGGTGCGACATGGTGTGCCTATCGAAAACTCACAAGCTGCACTTGCTTCCTACAGGCGGTCAACGCGATCCTGTCGTGCGGCGATTTGCTAACGATGCATTCGCCAAGCGATCTGTTAAAATCCCACAATATTGTCGGGTTGAACAGTGATGTCCGTTCGTTTATCAAACCACATTTGCCCAATAAGCGTGGTGAAGCCGTAGTCTAGCGTCGACAGCATTCCGACGGCAGCGAGTTGCGGCTATTCGTTGATAACCGCATTCACTTCCACATCTTGCTGATGTCATCCCTCACATGGGACCGTACAATGTGCAGGTAACTTTGCTGACGCTCGGTGTAGTGTAAGATCTTGTCAAGCCTCATAGAGCAAGATCTCCGTCCTGCCCACCTCTGCAGTAGATGTCAGAGTAGAGCTGGAACTTCGCCGGTGCGGCACTGATGGATTCTTGCTTTCTACCCACGACGAACTATAGAGAATTCAATGCTACACCCTGCATCACTATAGAACGTACGTGGTTAGCCCGATTCAATAGAAAGCTTTGGATCGTCGTTAAACTACCTCAATGTATTTCAGCTACCGTCGATCAATCGTGGCAGAGAGCTCCCAGCCACCTGATACTTCGGCTTTTGAGGAGCTACTATAAAGTCACGGATTCTCGGCATAACAGAAGTGGCTCCGCGTCAAATCGCTATCAAACGCTTGCGGAAAAACGCGAAATTCGTTGAAGCACAGCGCACCTGCTGACAAGTGAGAGCTCGTTTGAGTCCCGATTTAGGGATATTTTACCGTGAACACACAGTTGACATGCCGATACAAAAAAGGTTGGGGCCAAGATACGCTTGACATCACGTCTATCGAAGTACCATCGATTCTTGCCGCTTGAGGTGACAACGCACTGATAGAAGATCAATTCTGCTTCACTTACGTTCCGGGCTCATTCTTCCCTATGCCTTGAGTTTATTCCACAAGAAACACATGTGAAATATGGCATTCTCGAGAGCACGAAAGACCTGCAGCAGCCCACACATTTAAATGGCCGTGACTCTGTATTTATTGGCTTTCAAAATCGGATGTGGCTGCTGCCCGATCAATAATTGATGAAGGCGAGTGCTTCAATCGCCAGTGAAGCGTTGAAGTGCTCGGAAGCGACATTGAATCCTAGCAATTCAGAATTCGTAGCACGGATTCGTTCGCCAAAAATGTTGGCGCAGGCGCGGCCGCCTACATTTTATCCTCCATGTTACGGCACACAGAACGCCCGTGTTCAGCAGCTAAACTAGTAGCTTATAACGAGATAAGAGGACGATGAATGCCCTCATGAGACGTGCGTATCAACTCGGAATTTTATGCATGGTTTACGTCGAAATTCATGACCACAAATTCTACGGTCACGAGCGAAATAGCTAAGCGACGATGCGGTGTGAGGTCTGCTAGACTATGTGACTAACCAAAAAAATGCTAGTCTTTAGGTGATAGATTGTCTAACAATGAGAGGCATACAACAAGTCGTGGCACACGAACGACAACTGCATGAACGGTGTAAATATTGCCAGTTGAAGATGCGTAAAGGCCAGCACTCATGAAGTGCAACAAGGCCAGAAGAAACTGCCCTCACGGACCCTTCATTGGTTTTGGTCCCGACAGTGGATGTAAGGCGGGGCAATGAATGCTGCTGTTTTAGATAGTGCATCGGCATGCATATTGCTTGCTTGCATGGAGGTCGTTGACAAACTGCCGTGCTTAATTTGCAGGTACTAAGGATCTAAGCTGAATATTGTCGTGTCTATTGCATGCGTTTTGTACCCACCATGCATGCGATGAGCGGAAGAAAAATGTACGCAGGTGCGTACACTTTATCCGGAATGTATCGAAGGTGAGATTTTTTTCTTCTAATGGGATGATAATACCACTAGACAAAACCTTCTTTCGCGCATGTGGGAACGACTGAGAATTCTTGTAAAGGTGACCATTTGGAATTACTATTGCAATATTGCGTACCATTGGCTAATGTACATTTTCACTGCGAAGGAATGGCACGATTCACAAATGAAGCATCGATGAACAGACGAGCAACTACAAACGCCCAGGAGAAGCTAACAATTCTAGCACGTAGCGATATCTGCTCTCGACTTGTCTTTTGCTCATTCCAGGTATACACGAAGGTAGCTGTATAACTAGCTGGCTGGAAGCCATCGGACTGAGACCAGAGGATAACAGCACTTACAATTTTAACGGGATCACGATCCCTATCCCTATCACCACCGCAAGCCGCAAGTTTGACATGCTTCCCCAAATACGCTCGGACACCACTGTATTCATTCAAGTGACGTAGAATCCTCGCTCAGAGGTTTGTGCTCTTTTTTTGTCCCCAAAATCTCTCGCGTCTTTCAATATCTACTGCAATTGGTAAAGGAAGTATGACCACAAAAAGGGCACGGCCCCACACAATGAGTGTCAGTGCATACACATGACACCCATTATCATGCCAAAGACACCCTTATCTGATGCGTAAATAAGAACTTTTGTGCACGCCTTCCAGATTGTTAAATCGACACCTTCTTATGACCTTGATTGGCAGCGCTTTCTCTAACTACAGCGGCAGCACAAGCACTAAAGTCGTGACCCAAGGCGTAACTCTGCGCTTGATCTTTTTGGTTCTCGCCATCATGTACTACGCTCTCTTACCAAAACGCCTAGGGACAAGATCAGACATTCAGAGACAATCAATAGTGGATCGTTAAGGCCCCCCCCCCCATATAATTATATTCCCCTAAGCATTAAAAACGTTATAAGAGCTTTAAGATTATAAAAAGGAAGCATTCAGCCACTGGAGATGAAAAAGCAAAACAGATATTTAAAAAGACAAGAAACAATGAAAGAGTCATTTGTTTGGACATATCCTTTGCAAGAAAAACAGAACTTTCAGGTCCCTTTTTTGTTTATAGCGAAGAAGGCGACTGCGAGATGAGCGCGAGGCTAAATTTTATACTGAACTTTCCCCACTAATGCGTTCTGTGCGGCCCGCTATCCATGGCATCGTAAACGAGCCCTGTGATCATGGCAGTAATGCACCACTACTACGCTAATGCGAGCGG